AGCTGGAAAAGGGGGGGATTAATTTCATATTAGGAAACCTAGAAACCGCCTGCTGCATCCATTGGGATTTTCAAAGTTCTTCCCTTGATTAGTTCAAATGTTTATTCTAGATTGCTTTTCAATTATTATGAACATGTGTGACTGAATTTCTTCTTAGTTAGAGGTGAATTCGAAGCCATGGACATATGTTTTACATGAATTGATTACTTCCAGTTATGGTTTCATAAAGTATGCATGTGATTTACTTTTCTGTTTTATTGAGGACTTATTCTTGCATGTTTATTAAGGATGCATACTTAGTTTGTATGCAGGGATTTGATGCTAGAATATAAGGGAATTTCACCTAATCGTTATGAACTTATATTCATAAGTAGTAAAAGTCACTAGTCATGATTGCGTTAAGTAAATTCTTGGCAGGAGTATCATGCTTTTCATAGTTACAATTGCCTTGTCAAGGCTTATGATTTTCATAGAACTTAATGATCTTTGATATGTATCTCTATCATGTTGTTCATATAGGGAACTTGATAAGGATAATTTGATTGCATCACTGAGTCCAATTCACTGAACTTAGGAAAATCTGAGAGTTAATTAGTGCATTCACAACTATTTTGGGGCTTTGTCATTCATACTTTATAGAAAGAGTAACTGGAGATCGATTTGTGTGCATATGTTCCATGTGTGGAGAAGAATCCTCTAGCTATCCCTTAATCCATATTTCATTCACAACTTAGTTGTTTGCTGCTGTCAGTTTTACTTTATTCTAAATCATCCAATTTCCCCCCAATCATTGTTCCCTTAACTTAGTTTCCAATTTAATAAGTCTAATTTGTGTTGATTAGCATCCCTCCTAATCCCCGGAATAGAACGATCCCTACTTACTCGTACTACGATTGCATAAATTATAGGGTTTAATTTGTGCGTTAGTTATTTCTCACGCCAAATATTTATAATTCAACTTAATATAACTTTTTTTTTTAGCATTTTTTTTTTCTTGCATTTCCAATTTATTTATATTTTGTTGCATAATCATTTTTTTTTTTTTGCATTTGTAAATTTTTTAATAATTCAACTTAATATAACTTTTTTTTTTAGCATTTTTTTTTTCTTGCATTTCCAATTTATTTATATTTTGTTGCATAATCATTTTATTTCTTGCATTTCTAATTTATTTATATTTTGTTGCATAATCATTTATTTCTTGCATTTCTAAATTGTTTATATTTTGTTGCATAATCATTTTTTTTCTTGCATTTCCAAATATTTATTTTTTCTTCCATATTCATTTCTTTGGTTGCATTTCCAATTATTTATTTTTAATAGATCATACAAGCACAAATGTGGTTCGATGCCACGGGGCAAGGCAAAAAAGGTTTCTAGAGTCACCAATGTTGGGAAATTGTGAAGAATTGTTCGAGATTCAAAATCATTTGCACTGCTTCGCCAGTTGTGTTGAATGAGACATCGCTACACGATTCACCAGCAACCGATTCGCCATTGGACTCCCCAATGTATCAAGACTCACCACTTCGACGTGCACCGAGACCTATTGGGAGAAAGGCGACAAAGGTGAAGAAATGGAGCACTTCGAACAATGAATGTGCACAATTTTTGGAGCAAGTTGCTAAGAATAACGCACTGAGACTTGAGAGAGACACAAAAAGAGAAGAAGCAGACAAGGCACAACATGAAGTATTTGCAATTGAAAGGCAGCAGGCACAAGAAAAAGACATGGAGGATAGAGAGATGAAAATCATGGCCATGGATACCACCCATATGTCTTCTGAAACAAAGTCCTACTGGAAGATGAAACGAAGGGATGTGATGAGAAGAAAACTTTTCCATGATGACGGACCAAGCAATACAGATTGGTTAAATGATCAAAACCATTAGGTTGGATTGAAAGATTTGCCATATGCATTAAGACTTGTTGTATTGTTTCCCTTTTATTCAATAAAGAAAGCATTAAATAATATGACTATTTATTAAAAATATTTGCACATGAAAACAAAGATTAATTAAAAAGAAACATTATTTTATTGCATACAACACACAAAACAAAGCATAATTCCAAACACACCACACACAAAATAAAACATAATTAAAAACAAAACATAATTCCAACCACACTGCATACAAAATAAAGCAAACTTGAAAACAAAGCATTAATCTTGACTTCATCCATTGTAATTGCCTTTCATCTCCCATAAGTGCTCAATCAAGTCAACTTGACGCTTCTCGTGAACATACGAAGATTGCATTTCCTGGTAACGATCAAGCATGGGGTTGTTGAATCGACCATCCCAAACTAACAGTTCTTGCTCCAATGTATTTCCATTTGGTCCCATCGGCCTTTCATAAATCCTTGTCAAGGTCGTGTTCATTGGATCCGGTTCGAACACCTTTGGAGCATCATAATCAAACTCATCCTCTACAATAATGTTGTGGAGGATGATGCAAGTTATCATAATGCTTCGCAGCACCTCCTCATCAAACTCCGAGCAGCATCCATAATAATACCCCAACAAGTTTGCAAGATATCGAAACACCTTTCCACATTTTTCATGTAATTTTCTTGAAAGGCAGCAAAGCTTTTTTCCTTCTCTAATTGGGGATTAGGAAATGTTTTCACGAATTTCGTCCAACTAGGATAAATTCCGTCGACAAGGTAATACGCACCAGAGTATACGGTATTGTTAATTTGGTACGTGATCTGGGAGGAATGACCTTGTAGTACATCGTTGAACATAGGGGATTGGCCAAGCACATTGAGGTCATTATGAGATCCAGCAACTCCGAAGAAGGCATACCAAACCCAACAGTCGAATGAAGCTACGGCCTCCAAAATTATACTTTTTTGGCCCTTTCGATTTTCATAGTCTCCTTGCCAAGCAGTGGGGCAATTCTTCCATTGCCATGCATGCAATCGATGTTTCCAATCAGTCCTAGGAAACCTCGAGCCTTAGCTTTTTGTAGAAGCCTTTGCAGGTCCCTATGTGTAAGTTTGCGAAGGTACTCCCTCGTGTACAGATTTTCTACTGCATTACAGAATCTCACCAAGTACTTTAGGATAGTTGATTTTTCCATCTTTGCAATCTCATCCATATGCTTTGCAGATGCCCTATAAGCAAGCATCCACAAAGTAGCTGTAAGTTTTTGCTCCTGGAGAAGACCCAAAACTCCAACAACATCATACTTTTGAATGAAGTATGTGTCGTAATTACAAATATCATGCACGATTTTTTTGGAACAAATTTGGCTGCATTCTATATCTCTCTCGAAACTTAGAAACAAGATATAACAAATTTGGGATAAAGTAATCTTCCAATAGATTCTTACCCTGAGACTGCCTACGTCTGTCCACATTCGAGGCACGACAACGGTGGTGTTGCCTTGATTGATTAAGCATAGACACCGCTACAAGCATTTCTTCCTCTTCTTCATTGGCGTCCCGATCTTGCTCAACACGTCTGCGTCGGATTTCTTTCGCTTCTCGCTCTTGCCTCTCCAACACCCTCCTTAAGTTTGACATTGAGAGTAGAATGTGTTTTGTAAAATATGAGAAATGAAGGAATAGATAAGATATGGTGTGAGAGGTATGAATTGATGGTATAGTTTTATAGAAGGATTCAGAAGATAGAGATGACACGTGGCGCAATTTTAAAGGGCAAAAATCTTATCTGAAATATGAGATTATAAATTTATTTTAATATGAAAATTTTATCTGACATGGGACACGTGGCGCAATTTTGGAGGGTGAAAATCTTATCTGAAATATGAGATTATAATTTTTTTTTTTTAAATATATGAAAATTTTGCAATTTTAGAGTGTGTAAATCTTATCTGAAATTTGATATTATAATTTTTTTTATTAAATATCCAAAAAATTTATTTGAAATAAGACACGTGGCAACCGAGAATCTCATCCGAAAATCTTTTCTAAAAAATGATGGACATGTGGCAACTAAAAATCTTATCCGAAAATTTAATTCAAAAATTTTATCCAAAAATGGTATCTGAAATTTTAGGTGATAATTTTGTAATAAATAGTGACACGTGGCAACCAAAAATATTATCTGAAAAACTTATCAAAATTAATGGTTTAAAGTATAAAAAAATTAGAAAATAAAGTATAATGAATAGTATTTTTCCTTGCTCTAGCTTTTTGGGGTGAAACCAAAAAAGACAAGGTTGCCACTATTTACGTGAATGATGGCAGCCCTTGCATTGCATTTGCCTTACCTTATCCTTTTGGGGTGGACTTGCTCTAAGAGGTATGGTGGTCATCCACTAAGTCATCTATTTACAATACTCCCTCTTGAATGTCTACCATACAATGACATAGTTGTTTCATTAAAAACTTTACTTGGAAAACCCAGTAGGACAAAACCAAATACGAGGAAAAAGAGTACAACTTTCTTGTAGATCATTGATATGGTGTTGGACACGCTTATGTTGACTCGTTAAAATCTTGCCAGGAAAAACTTAGTGGGACAGAAACCTAGTTGAAGGGAAAAAAGTACAATGCGCATATGTCCTGTATGTAGTAGAATTGGTATGCTTCCATTGATTTTCATTAACTTCTGGAATTTAGACTTCAGAAAAGTTTTGGTTAAAAGGTTCGCCAGATTATCTTGTGAATGAATTTGTTTGACTCTAATCTCTTGGCTTGCTTTGAAACTATGTCACATTTGATGAACCCTTCTTTGAGCAATACAAGCAACATTATTTTCATACATGATTGTTTATCATACTATTCGACATTCTTTTCAGTTTTTGAATGATTAAACTCTTTAGGAGCATCAACAACTAATCTAATAGTTAGAATATGTTACAACAATATCAAATTTGAATTCAAAATACTCAAACCCTTAGTGTCAACTCTTAATTAAGAATATTGTGGTACTTTATATCATTCAAAGGGTCACTTTATCCGATATATCTCACATATTTCACGAGCTTTGGATTGATTTCAGTTTCGTTTTGATTGTGGATTACTTTTGTGTTTTGGTTTGGGCTGTGGTGAAAAATTTGTGATATTCGATTTAATTGAGATATGATTTTTTAGTTGAATCTGATTATATTCGTGTTTTTTCTGTTTATGCACTATTGGTTTTTGAGTCGACTATAATGCACTGTTAATGCACTTGGCATCCACTGTTATTGCTAGTAATCATTTTTGTTTTGTTTGTTGTTTTTCTGTAGAGATATGGATGATTCGAGAGTGGCGAAGTGTACCTATGGTGCTGGAACTTTAATGCTTATTTTGTCTTCAACTACTACTTTTGATTGGGTGTCCAACGAGTTGTGTAGTAGGTTTAAGCTTAAGTTAGGTCATTTTGAGTTGAGGTGCTCTTTTACGGATTGCTCCAATTGTTTATTGGAATCGGATGATGATGTGAAAATCATGTTCATGGTATGTGGATTGATGAAGGATCAATTAATTCACATTGCTGTTAGGGATAAGGCTATAGTGAATCATGTTCAAACTGTTAATACGAACATAATTGCTTCTCCTTTTTTGTTAGAGGTTGTTCCTAACAATGACAGTTTTGCACAAGATGAGGATACATGTAAAGATTCTAGTCAAACGGGTAGTATTTCAAGTGCAGCTTCTTCTTCTTATTTGAGTATGGATTTTGATGGTATTAGCAGTGAATTTGGAAATAAATATTTAGACAAATATGATAGTTGTGGAGGTCGTAAGTATTTGTCTACTGATTGTGAGGGTTATATTACTCATGAGGGTCAGAAGTTTGATTGTAGAGTTTGTGAATTCCGTGATAAGTTGGCTGAGTACGCGATTGAGAATGGTTTTAAGATGAAGTATTTGAAAAATGAGCCTCGTCGTGTTACTGCTGTGTGTGATAAGAAGGAATCAAATGGCTGTGAGTTGCATGTGCATGCTGTTAAGTCCAATGTAAATGGATTTTTTTATATTAAGAATTTAAATAATGTACACAGTTGCAGTGGTTTGATCCATGAGAAGAGAAATAAGGCAACGGGGTCTCGTTTGGTGTCTTCAATTGTCAAAAATAAAGTTTGTAGCAATCCTTTGGTAAGGCCTATTGAGCTGATTACTGATTTGAAAGAAAATTATGAATTGGATATCCCTTATCATGTTGCGTGGTATGGGAAGGAGTCAGCTACTAAGGATTTACATGGTGATGAGGAGTTGTCTTATGCTCACTTGCCTTGGTATATGGATGTTTTGAAGGCCAGTAATGTTGGATCTCATTGTGTGCTTAACTGTGGTGAGGATGGTTCTCGTTTCCTGCGGATCTTTATATGTTTTAAGGCCTCCATTGATGGTTTTCGATGGTGTAGGCATATGTTGTTCATTGATAATACTTTTGTCACAAACAAGTACAAGGGTACTCTTCTAAGAGCTACTGCAAAGAATGGAAATAAAGGTATGCAATGCTTTTTTTTTCACTGCTGCTGTTACAATTTTTTGTACCCGTTATGCAAATCAATTGATGTTAAGTAGTATCAAGTTGTACACTTTTATCGTACTTATTATGCAAATGTAAATGATGTAGTTGTTAACTTCTATTGATTTGTATTAACAGTATAGTTATGCAAATGTAAATGCCGTAGTTGTTGACTTCCATTGAGTAGTATAAACAGTTACTATACTGTTTGTTGACTTCCATTAAGTGGTATAAACAGTTGTTATACTGTTCATACTCTGTATCTGAGTATTTTTATGCATTATAGTTTTACTTTGTTTCATGTGGTAACACTGTTAGTTCTTGCAATGTTCAAACTAACTAATATAGTTCTCTGTTTCTTGTAGAAGTATTCCCTTGCCTTTGCTATTGTATCCGGTGAAATTGTAGACAATTGGAGGTGGTTTCTGCAAAGGATATTTGAAGTCTTGGTGGATGAAGGTAGGAAACTTACATTCATTTTTGATAGGCATGATGCTATTATCGATGCTGTTAAGACTGTTTTTCCTACTTCTACCCATGATTTTTGTCTATATCATTTGAAAGAGAACTTAAAAAAGAAGTATCTGCATTCTGTTGGTTCCTCTTTCAAAGATCATATTTTATGGATTTTTTGTAAGTTGTTGTATGCACCAACTGTTGAGGAATATCAAGATACATTGAAAAAATTAAAAGATTATGGCGGTTCAATAATAATTGATAAGTTTTTGGCTGATCTCCCTGTCCAAAATTTTGCTAATGCATTTTTTCTGGGAAAGAGGTATGGGGAGGTTAGTAATGTCTTGTCTGAGTCGTTTAATTCATGGGTTAAGGATGCGCGTAGGCTTTCAATTTATGAGATGATTGACACTATTAGGATCAAAATGATGGAGATGATTTCTAGGAGGAAGCTTGCATCCGATAAATGGTGTAGTGTTTTGTGTCCTGTTATTGAGGATGAGTTGAAGAATTTAACTGCAAAGGGTCGTCATTGGAGGATATGGCGCGAATGAATCTATATTTGAATGTTATGGTCAATTTGGATGAAAGATTTTGCTCCTGTTATCAATGGCAATTGCTTGGGTTTCCGTGTCAGCATGCAATTCAAGTTATCCAATATTCCGGGTTATGTTTGTACACCTTTGTTGATGAGTATTACAAGGCAGACTTTTATAGGGCTACTTATCCAACCCCTATATTTTCCATACATGATATTAAGAAGCCTTCTCCTGAAGATGTTTTTCTTCTACTTCCTCATACAAGAAAGCCTCTGGGATGGCCTCCGACAAAGCGCTTCAAGTCAAGCAGTGAAACTAAAAGGCAGGTGTAGTACAAGAGATGCGGTTCTTGTGATCATCATAATAAGAGGACTTGCAAAGTTCCTATTTGATGTAAAGGTTCTAGAGTATAAAAACTTGAATGAGAGTTGTTAGTTTTTAACTAGTTAAAGTATTATGTGATTGATTAATGACAATCATAGTTCAAATGAATAGAAATTGATAAGCAAGTTGTTAATACGGTGAAATAGCAGTCACTGCATATGAATACTCTTTGAATTTTGGTATTAATACATAATATTTATCATTTTTGGTATTTTGTAAATTTTGGTTTTGAAGTTTGACATGAATTAAGCATTACTGCTGTTTGAATAATCTATAAATGAACGAACACTGTTTATGTCATTATTGAAATTAAAAGATAGTTCTATGACATAGTATTAACAATTTATTTTTATCAAATAGCATTAACATTATATTGAGAGTGTGTTTTTATTTGTTGGAGTTCACCTTTTTAGTTGTTTTAGTGTTATGAAGACCATTATTTCAGGCTACATACACTGTTAATTCACGTAAATAAATTGGTTTTTGAATAAGCACATAACTTGAATTTGAAAATCACTTTATTTCAATGTTCTAAACCTACACAAGTCCTAAAAAACTACAATATAAGCAAGAATTTTGGCAAAATATTTAATTACAACTTCATTCTTTTGCATTTCTTTCTTCTCCTTCTTTGATAGAAATCCAACTTCTTTCATTGCTCATAATTTTCATGAGGACTTCTTTTCTCATTTCCAAGACCTTTTTTTTGTTGAAATCGGATTATATTTGTTAGTCTTTGGAAAGTTGCTTCATGAAGTGCATGACAAAGACACCACAATCATTGCTGCATAATAGAGATATGCATGCAGTAGTTATTTTAGTATTTTTTTTAGTTGAATAGGATGAAAGTTTCACTGTTATTGCGTAACTTACAGATTGTTTGCTTGTTGGGGACATTCTCTGTTCTCAGTCAGCTTGAAATTAGTAGTATCATGACGAATCAGATACTTCAATGTATGAGCATATTCTGGTGTAAGTTCGTTGCTGGCAAGTATTTTTGCTATCATTCTAGCTGAAGCTTCATTAAGCAATCTCAGCTTCTTGGCATCAAAATCAGGAATTTAGACGAGTTTTGTTTTCAGTGATACTGCAACACATTCCTTAAGAAGACAGAGGAATATATTTGCTATCTCAACCTGCATCATAGTCAAGTATGTGCTTAGTTTCCTTTAAATTTAGTGTCCTATGTATTAACAGTATTAATCACCAGTCTTACTTACCAAAACAATTGCATTCTTGTGATAATATTTGAGAGTTTGTTCTGATGTCCCCTTGAATTTGTTGAAGTGTGTCCATTTTGTTGCACTAGTGACAAAGATAAGCAGCGCATGGTGGTTCTCATTTGTAATTGGTATGAACACTCTATTATAAAAAGCATGATATGTCAGCTTATGTGAAGCACCTCTCAAAAACATCTGCAAAAGTCATGTGTTGTTGATTAGTGAGCATGTTGATGATATAAAATTGATGTATTAGATGTGATCTTACATAGTTATTGGATGACAAATATGCATTTTTTTGTTTCTGAGGGTTCTGCTTGGAATCATCATTAAGTGCATTTTCATAAGCATCGATGATTAGTGCAGAAATTAGATCATCTCCCATCAGCTTTTCAATGTTATGTTTGTAAAATATTGTCCTATTGTGTAGGCAAAAAGCGTCCCTACAACAATAAGATTGTTTAAAAATGATAATTTCATAATAGTTTAATAACAAGACAGTTCTACGACATAGTACTAACAGTGTAATTCTATGACAGATTGGCTTACTCATCAGAATCAGATGCAGATTTCCAGTAATTTTCCAACTTCTTCTTTGATATTTCATCCAACCTATTGTAGTCCTCATACATGTGCAACTGAAGGTATGTATCTTTGTCCTTCTTTTTTTTTTGTTGGCTGCTTCATCTTCGCTTTGGCTTGCTCTTTTTCGGGCTTTCTTATGTGCTTCGGGGTCTGTGTAATCTAGTTTCTTTGCAAGCTTTCTGTCTTTTTTTGTCTTTGATTATTTTGATGCCAGAACGCAACTGCCGTGTTCCTACTTCTTTCGCTTGCATGATAACTTACTTTTCAGGAGTTTTTTCATCGGCATTCTCATCTTCATCATTAGGAGATTCTTGCATCTCCAATTCACTTTCTTCTGCTATTCTCTCATCTTTTTTCTCCTTATCAGCTTGTTCTCATCGGAATTTCTCCTTATTCACCTTGTTTGAAATTTTTTCCCATAACATGTTGCAAAGAGGCAATAACAGTGTCTTTTTCTTTCATGCTCTCAATGCAGGACAACTTTTCCCCTTCAAGTAGTTCATGTTGTTCTTGTAGCTGTCTCCTGTTTGATTTGAGTGCATGAAGTTCCCCTTGTAATTTTGCACTTTTTTTTTCTCTTGCTCAAGCTGCTTTTTCAGTATTTCAATTTGTTGCTCAAACTCTTCTTTTTTAGTCCATATTTGTTGGATTAATGAATTTTTCTTTATGCAGGATTCTATAGCAATTTGTATCATATCCCTTCGAGTATCTGCCTTTTCAATCCAATAGCCGACTGCTTCTTTCAGCTGTTGGATTTTCTCATGGGTATGGACTATTTCATGCTTGTAGTACTCTGAGATTGAACCCACTATGTCCTCAAAAATGGTGTCGAAGTTTTCTTCCTGGCTGTCAAGTTTTGAATGTTGTTGCTGGACATTAACAGTGTCCTCCTCTGTCATTGAGTCTGCACTAAAGTCAACTGCTTGTTCTTCAATTTCATCATCTTCTTCGCATTCCAATGATTGTATTGATGGTTCTTCAATTTCATCATCTGCTTTACATCCCAATTATTGTGCATTGTCTTCATTTTGGTCATGTTGTGGAGTTTTTGTCTAGGTTGCACTTTGGTCCACATTTTCATAGAAGCTAAAGTTTTGTTTCTGGGTAATAACAGTCGGCTTTTTTCCTTCTTGTGTTTGACTCTTTAACTGTCACAAATATTAGAAAGGAAAAAAAAATATTAGCAAATTTATATACATGTATATGTGTTTATACACCATTAATTCAGTTTTAAAATATAAATGTTGGATCACTGTAGGTTATCTTACCCAATCTTTAAGTGTGATAACAAAGTCATCATCCTCTTCATTTTCTTCTTGTTCTTCATGGTTTGCATGATCAGTCTTTGTTGCTTCTTCTTCTTTTTCATTGTCAGCAGCTTTTATCTGTTGAATTATTGGAGTCAGTAGTTATTATGGTGTACTAACATTATATATGTTTATGGAAGTAAGAAAAATGCCTTAATGTTTTCATATGTTGCAATATTCAGCTTGATATTGAGCTCCGGAAGGCTCCATTTGACAGCCGCTGGTTTGTGATCTTCTCTTCCAGGAATTGGACTGATCAGGTTAGTTCTTTCACACAGCCAATACTGCAAACAAATTTTTCAATATAAAGTGTTAATGCACATGAAAACAAATAATATAATGGGATTAACAAATGGATGTAGTTTCTTACCAGGATTAGCGTAAGGCAACCACTGACACTTGGTTGATTTGTCTTGTCATTTTTATTTTTTATGGCTTGGTCCAGTCCAAAATGCATGTAATCTAAGACTCCTTGTGCCCAGTTGTAGCTGTTCATTGCTTCTAAGGTGTCGATCATAATCAAAAAGGTCTAAGCCATTGTCACCCCAGAATTGCAAAAGAGATTTGTGATGAAGAGCTCTAGGATTAACAACCTCACAACATCCATTGCATCCTTGTTTCTGTCATCTGCTATTGCTGTGTTCAGACACCTATCAACCTCAGTGTTTTTGATTTTTTTTGAATTCTCGAAGTACTTTTCGAATGCCAAATTTGTTCTTGTGGAAGTTGTTGTGCTTGGCAACTTGTTTCCGTGCCTTCACTGAATTTGAATTTTTTGGTTGCGGGGTTGTAGAGTTTGATTAGTCTAATTATTTGATAATTAGACTTCTGGCATTCTGCCTTGGTTAACTGACCTTCCATGTAAGCCTTGATGATGCTCCATAATGACGTTTTTTGTAGGATCTTGATGACATCCTTTCTTACTGCAAGCTTGTCTTTTACCGTTTGCAATGTGTTGTCAAATGTGAGCATGTTGCTCTTCATCTGCACATGATTTGGGTTATTGCATCTGTTTGGTTGAGGTTTTTATGTTTGGGATGGTGTTTTTTTTTGTCTTCGTTGTTTTCTTTGGTTTCAGTGTGTTTGTGGACTTGGGTGTGGATGGTTTGGCTTTTGCTGTTGTTGGTGGTGTGCTTTGTGTGTTTGTTGATGCTGTTTTGTACTTTTGCTAGCTTGGGATCCTTTTGTATGCCTTTTTTTTTAAAAAAAAATTTCAACCCAGTTACCTTTTTCCATATGACCACCTGCAAAGGTGAAACAAATAGGTTATTTTAACTAAACAAAATAAAGATGAAACATAAATATTAATACTTCTATGACATGGTATTAACCATTTATTTCTATGCATTTGAACCTCATGCTTCTCTTTCTAGTGCACTGTGATTTTTTTTCATATACATTTCTAGTGCATGTTGCACTAGAAGAGTAAGATGCATAGAAGTCTCAGATTTTGATTAACAAAGGATGCTACATATTTTGGTCTTCAAGTGCACTGCGAAGTAGTACACTAGAAGAGCAA